TTTGCATTTAGAATTCGATTTTACATTTTTAGTTTTGCTAGTTAATTAATATTACTAAAATAAGAGAGAAAACAACAAAAAATAAATCTTTTACATTTTTTGTTCTTTTAATTTCACTTTTTGTTTAGTTTCCTTTCAAATTAGGATTTAGTTTATTTTTAGAAAATTAATTAGTCTAAATTTGGGAGTTAAAATAGGTCTGGTTAGTTTTAATTTTGCAAAGAAATATATAAAACAAATAAATAAATAAAAAAACAAATGAAAGAGTGAATTAATAAAAGAATCAGGCCAGTTTGTATTGGGCCAAATCCAACTCTAGCCCAATCAACCCCTCAAATCTGGTCAAGACAGCCCAACCCAACCCCTGATCCGGTCCAAAGACGCCCAAAACGGCGTCGTTTATAGCCACTCAATCCAAGCCGTTCGTCCGCCCAAATCTAACGGTCCTGAGTGATTTTTGTTTTTGTAATAAAACTGTCCGAATTTCTCCATTAACCCTAGATCAGATCCCCTTCCTCGTACCCTTTGTAACACCACTGTCCCCCACCGCTACCCACCGTCAGTCCGTCGTTCCTCCGCCGTCTGCCGCCGGCCGGAAATCGCCTTCGCCGGCGGCGATGCTCCAATCACGCCCAAAATTACCCCATCTCTTCTCCTCACTCCCCTCTCCCCAAATCCACCCTTAGTCTGTCTCAAATCCTACCCAATCTCCTCAAATCTACCAAACCCTAGGCGCCGCCACCACCGTGCACGGCGGCGGCTCCAAATGACTCCAAAATAACACCATAGCATCCTTTAACCTTCCTCATTCCTAATATCCAACCAGATTCCTTTGAACATCATTAAAACGGCTCGAATTTTTAATCATAGAGCCGGCAGAACCCTAGAAATTCATTTTTGCTCGATTTCTTGAGTCTGATATGGGATTTGAGTCACGAAGCAATATTTTCGTTTGTTCTTTGAGAAGAACAAATGCTTAACATTGTTCCGAGGCTCGAATCGAGTTTCCAATCCCGTTCGACCTTGCATAGGTGAGCTTCTCCTATTTCTTGAGTTAGTTTGAATATATTTTTTTTCTCTGTTTCTGTTAATTTGTTCATCCTTTCCTTATGCTCTTTCTCTTCTTTCTTTTTTCTTTTTTTAGGCAGTAATCAGTACTTGTGTTTTTGTCATTTAAATTTTTATTTTTTGATTCCTCCTCCGTTCTTACTGATAGTAGTTTAAATTCATGAATTAGTGTTCAATCGTTACTTGTTGAATTCATGTTGATGAATTAGTACTGTAGTTTGCTTATTGATGTTATTTAATCATAGGTCTGTTGAGTGTTATTATATGATATTTTACTGGGTTCTTAATTGTTTAACAGTTTACTGCTTATTGGTTCAACGTTACATATTAATTAGAGTTAAATTTTAGTTTTGGTGATTGGTTATAGCTGATTTAGACTCACTAGGATTAACTATAGTTAAATTTTAACTAAGGTAAAGGGATTTGGGTGGGTTAGTAATTTCAGGGGCAATCAAGGGTAGTTTAGGCATACAAAATGGGCTGGTTTGTTAAGGATTAGTAATTTCAGAACCAAAATAAGGGTAAGATAGGCAATTCAAGGGTAGGGAATCTAGTAAGAACTTCCTAGAAGCTTCTAGATGTGGGTTTTAAGGTAAATTTCAGAATATAAGTGAGTTAACTTGAGAAACAAGTCAATAAATAGAGGACTAATCTGAAAATAAAAGAGGGACTAAAAAAGAAAACTGAAAATCTGAGGGCTGCCCCATTTTGCCTATAAAAAGGCATGCCAATGCCTTAAGGAACAAGTTTTGGGAGCCACCAAAGTCTCCCCCCAAAAAACCCCTTTCTGCAAATCTGAGTTTCAGATTTGATTTTCGTTTTAGATCTAGCTCTTCGAAAAACCAAAAACAACAAAAACAATAGAAAAACCAAAAAATATTACTGTTTCATTAAAATTCTAAGTGATTAACAACTGTTAGCTATTGATTGGATTTTCCTAGCTTAATCTCTGGTAATCGAAGTGCAAAAGTGTTTCTGGTTGGTGTTCGAGTAGATTTTGGGTTCAGTTTGAGGCATTTAGGATCAATTTGGGTGCTGTGTTGGTCTGATTTGATTCTGAGTCCATTTGGAAGCCATTTGAGCTTATTCGAACTAGCTTTGGGGTTAAGCTGTGGGTTCAGTGAACTGCTTTGGTCATCTGATTGTGTGCTAAAATTCTATAAATCATCTCTGGTCTTTGAGGAACTATTTTTGGGTCAAAACTTATTCCAATTACTACTGGTTGTGATCCTGTTAAATTTCTGTTGTTGCTGCAAGTTATTACTCCCGCTGATCTCCTCTTCTTCATTATATTTTCACATCCAGGTACACACCTTCAATTGATGTAACTCTGAGTTGAAGTCGAAATAAAATTCATTCACGACTTGGCTGCCCGATGATGTACTCGTTTGGATTGATAACTTGTCAACACCTAGACACATGTTGATTGCTATGTAGTAGTTTAATTTAGTTTTACATGATTTGTATAACTAGGACTGTTAATTAGTGGACTGTTAAAATAATTAGACGTGCTCCTGGAAATGTGATTGGTTGAGCTTGGGTTGCTAGTGTGATGAAGAATCTCAGTGGGCCTTCATATGCATTTCATTGTTTGTTTTGGATTATTTAAACTTGGAATCATCTAGTTATAGTTTTCACATAGCTAGTACCTGTTTAGCTCAAAGTTATTTCGGTTTTTAAAAGAAGAATCAGAAACATTTGGATTTGGGTTTGATTTTGAAATCTAGTTTAATTTCAAACTTAACCTGTGTTGTGCTACAGCAATTCATATCTTCGTTAATATGTAAGTGTTAATAACTTTAGGTTAACGGTTCAAATCAATAGTTTACTTGAATTGAATTATGCATCATCACTTAGACTGGCTTGAGTTAGTTAACCTGTTCGAATTTAGTCCAGTTAGAGTTCGTGAGGGATCATTGCTTCAGTAGTTCGAGTGCGTGAGTATTATTTTTCCGTGATTGCCAACTGTTGGAACACATCTAGAGTAATTTGAAGTAATTCCAACAAACCTTTGTTTAATTTAATTGTGGTTCAATTGAGTTTAAAGGGTCAGGGATATAACAACCTATTCCCAAGCGTTTGGGCCTCAGGCCATCTGCTGCGCAGGCCCAGGTTCAGAGTTCATTTCCTTCACATTTGGACCTGGGCCAATGCCTGGTTTACCTCAGCCCAATAACAAATTATTTAGGACTTTTTCTTGTGTTTTTAGAGACAAAATAATTAGAAAAATCATAGTCGCTTTAGGATCAGCCTTTGAATAAAAATGAGATGAGCCTCGCCAAACAAAACACATAAATTGCGGGGCCCTCGATAAATGTTTACATAAATACTTAGACTCCGGGATGGGCCGTTTAGCGAATTTCACGGCTTTCCCCAAAGATAATAACGCGATAGTCTCTTTAGGCACGCACTTTAAACAATTTTACCTTCCTAAATACGGGTGCACATTTATGTGACCCAAATCCAAATCTCAACGAAGTCGAAATGTGTCAAAAACCGCGGGTGCATTTATGTGACGTGGTTCGAGACGTGTTTTCACGACGTTGCAATTCTCTAAAAAATAATAATAATAATAATAAAGCGGTTCAAAATAAAAAAACACATAGGTCAAAACATGTATTAAAATCAAATAATTAAGCCAAATATGACAGTTGAGCGACCGTGCTAAAACCACGGAATCCGGGAGTGCCTAACACCTTCTCCCAGGTTAACAGAATTCCTTACTCGGATTTCTGGATCGCGGACTGTTAAACAGAGTCATATTTTCCTCGATTCGGGATTCAACCGGTGACTTGGGACACCATGAATCTCCCAAGTGGCGACTCTGAAACTTAATAAATAACAAATCCCTTTTCGATTGTCCTTTAAGTGGAAAAACTCCTTTACGCCCTTGCTGGTGTAGTGAAAAAGGAGGTGTGACACCAATAATCCGTGATGTCAAAAGTAGCAGCCAAATCGATAAACTTGACATAAAAAGAAATCTGAAGATGAAGTGGGTAAAGAAAGAAGATGAAGAGAAGCAGACGGAAGACAAATTAATTGCTGGTATGTATGCACCGAGGAATTCTTATATTGCACCACCGGTGAAGTTGCTCTTGCTTTCAGTAAAATTTTGGAGAAGACCAAAGTACCCCTTGTATAATATTCAGTTGAACATGGACTTATAATTTGTATATCTTAACAAACTATATAAAAAGGCTGTCTAACCATCTATTGCTTTTGCAGTTAACAGAAGAAGCAAAGAGCAATATCAAACCACCAATACTGACTAGAATAATAACCAAATGATGATCAAAAGGCTTTGGAGGAGCTCCAATAGGCTGGAAAAATGGAACTTCTATGTGTACCCTTCGTAGCATAATGCTAAATTTGTCACGAATTGGCAGGGAACAGAGCAAGTTGTTCTAATAAGCAAAGGTTTCAATTTCTCCACAGTAGTACCTTCATTGACTTCGGGTTTACTAATGACTAAATTGGTCATCTATATAGCTAAATGTCTGTTACTTTGCTGACCAAGCAGTCCATCCAAGGGAAGACAGGAAAAACGTAATCCATGATGATGTAAACCATTTGGAAAAAATAGGTCAATAAGAAGACCAGAAGATAATTAAGGCACCTGTAGAATACCAGTAACAACAAAATGTAATTCTTTTAGTGAAAGCCAACTCTTCCCCTGACCCTGTTAGATTTGCTATTATGTTAACATGTGTGAATGTGCAATAACCAATAAAAGTATTCATCACAATAAGCCAATTTTCCCATTCATTCTTGAAAATGACTGCATTCTAGAGCTTCATTATATAAAACTTAGATTTAGAGGTTTGTTGAATGCAGTGCATTACCACTAAAGTTGAAAAGATTGTGCTAAAAAACAGAAATTGAAGCACATTGCTTTGATGCAAATACCAGAAAATCTTCAAAACACAGAGTCGTAAGAACAAAGAACACTAAAAATAATTTTTATATACCAATCCTCATAATAAAATTCCCGACAGTAGCATATTAGATCATATTGAACAGTTATCCATATTCTATAAAAGATACATGGTGTGGCAGTTTTCGACATTTTATTTTGTAATTTAATGAACTCACAGCGGAGGTTTGCGTAGCAATAGCTTAAACAGATAATATTTCATCGTCAGCAGCTACAAGATTAAGCGATGAAGCTGACTCTGCTGAACTCTTCACTGTGTATTCGATTAACATTTGTTTGTTCTCATTTATCCTGTAATTCGCATAGGAAATGTCAGACAATTATTTTTCCATAGAAGAAATAACAGTTAAATAATAATTTGGTACATTTTAAGCACAGTTTGTATTGTACCAATTCCGTAATTCAGTTGCTTGCACATATGGGGGATTGATTAAGATTGTGTAGTTGTATCTTGTTGCCAAACAGGAAACTGTGTATGCAAATTTTATTAATAACCAACGCGGAACCGTTATCCATATGTAGGAACAGGAGCTGCATGAACTTACCACCACGGTATTTTGTGGTACCTATCCGCTTCGCGAGAATAATAGGATATTCTTGTAGTTGCCTCACTTGTCTCAGTAAGTCAGCTCCTTCATTGCTTGCCAAGTCTTCCCATATAGTGAAGAAGAGAGGTTTCTTCCTGTACATGTACTTTTATAAATGTCAGCTAGAGATTTTGTTATGTAATAGAAGATTAAATGACTCACGTTTTGTCCATAACTACGGCCTCTTGAAATCTCTTACTCTGATCAGCGGTGTATTGCATTGCCGCACAGTTTGCCACCAGAGCTAATAGATTTGTTGTTATAAAAAAAAACAAATGTACGTAAAACCAATATATTTGCATTCAGCATGAGTTCCAAGCATTTAAGCTGTTATAAGGCATAGGGTAATTTGAAACGTACCAAATTCAACACCGGAAGGCTGTTGTTCAACGTCGACGAACGAAATCGTACTCAGCCTCGACGGAGGAGGTAGCGGTGCCTCCTTTTCATTATTTTTTGGGATAGACTCCACAATAGTAAATCTGTCAACGATCTATTCAAACTGGCCTATATGTAGTGAATAAGGCTGCGGATTTCTAACCTTGGCAGTTAACATCAGATATGTCTCAAAAAGTTCGAACAAGTTATCACATCTTCTAATATCGTCACCATAGAGTATCACACAAACTTGTTCCTCCTACAATGTTATTAAGAATGAAAACTTAGTAATTATTGGAAGAGTACAAGTGAAAAGAAGTTATGTTACAATTGTAGTTGTAACTTGACTTACGTTTACATCCTGGACAATTATTGTCTGAAAATGAACTCGTTGATCTTTACTGTCTCGCGGCCGAAATTTGTCTACAGCTTGGACTTTGCAAGTCCATTCTGTAGTTAGTGGTGTAATTCACTAATAGTAAGTCTTTCTTCCATTTTATCAATATAACCTGCATATTGATAACTGTAAAATTGCAAGAACAAACCATCCCACATTACAAATATGAGGCAACAAATATACGTAAAATACACTTAAAAATTTTTTGCAACAGTTAGGAATTTCTAGTAAAAGTTGGATTTGGATTTTTTAATCACTACATTTCAGAGTGTTGGAACTCCCTGCATCAAGAAAGAATTGAAAACTTCGTTAAAGATATTCAAGAAATTTTGGTAATACTGAGAAAAGGCAGATGTTAATACGATTGGCATAAGTGAAATTCATAGGCCAAAATCCTTTGAAGTTGAGCAAATATACAAACTTAAATCACGGCTCCTTTCACTCTACTTTCAGATTCAATTCAAACACACATGAAAAAAAAGAATGTCCATCAAGTCCTTCACTATCGATTCGTCTATTTTATTTATTTTTGTCAAAATGGGATTTAACGAACTAAATGAACTTGAAGTGAAGAAGTTTTAGATTTTTCATGAACTTCCTTTCCGCTAGACTATTATGTATGGTTGCTTGAAAGGTTTATTCAAACTTACGTATTCCTGGAGCTTGTAAAGAGAAACAACATAGGCAATGCTTTTATTGGGTTTAGAAAAACTATGTGGAAGTTTCCTTCTACTGACTTCATACTAACTCTTCTTTCTCAAAATTGACTAAATATACCACTCATTGTGTGATTTCCTTTATTAGAAGTAGTCATTTTCTATTTTTCTTCTTTTGCGTGCGTGCGTATGTTCGCGTCTTTATTTGTTTCTATTGCAATTGGTTCCATAATTTAAGCTTGTATATTATTTTCACTTATGCAGTGTGTTAAAGACAATAAGATACAATCTCAAGTAGCCGCTTCGGCGTTATCATAAGGGCATTAGCACAGAATTTAAGTGTAGTTGAAGCTTTGAACAGAGAAAAACACAATAAAGCTGAAAGAGGAATTTTATCAAACTCTTAAAGGACAAAGAGGGTAAACGACTGCAGCACCACAGGTTTAGGTAAAACAAAAATCAACATGAACCCAACCCTACTACGCATAATATCCATTAAGAAAACCAAATTTTGATTAACAGACCAAAAATAATCATAAAGAATACAAATGAGGTGGCAAAGAAGGTCTTACAGTGAGAAGGAGTTAACTTTGGGGATTAAGCTACAGGTAGCTTTTTCTTGTTATAAACACCATTTCTTCACAATGATACAACCTATTAAAAAATCCACAAACAAAATATTGATATTCCATTTCAGTTCTTTGCCCTAGAAAACTTAGAATTTTTCAATAGAATTCGAATTCAAAAACATCGAAAGCAATAGCACAATCAACCAAAAAGATCAAGAAATTGCACTTATGGATATGCAAAATAAGTTGTTATTAAAGATCAGAAAAGCTGAGTTCTTTGGTAAGGAAATTACACTGACAGAGGTAGAAAATCGAAGATTTCAGAAGTGTTTCAGTCTGTGAGATGGGTATTTCTCAAAAAGAAAAAACCTAATGAGATGGAACCCAAAAAAAAAAGAAAGAAATAAACTGTGAAAACAGAAATCCCTATTTAAACACCTACTTTTAATCAAATACCAGTGAATAAAGAAGAAAGGCGGAGAAGTTATCGTGTTGTTACTGAGAAATCCAGCAAAGGCTCACGGAGAAAATTCCATAGAAGATACAGAGGAGGAGAGATGCTGGGAGAAAAATCCGATGAAATTTCGTGGAAAACATCGACAAGTATGTCATAGCCCGCTTACTCACCAAAATTCAGCACACGTGTAAGCGCAGGGAACACAGAAGGTATATGAGTACTTAAATACCCCTGTGTCTAAGCAGGGATGTCGACGGAGAGCAGCTTCTGCACTCTTCTATAAGTAGAATATTTACAAAATTTCGGCCGTGGTTTGCGGATGGCGTGCCACCCCCTTCCTCCTTAATAGATCCGCCCCTGAGCAGAAGAGTGGGAGGAAACACGGAGTTCTTAGCATGAATGGCTTGATCCAACATTTCCAGCAGATCCTTGGCTAGCTCTGAAATGAGCCTTCACAAACAAGTTCTAGAAAAAAAAGTGTAGAGTCAGTTGCAATGAGCATCTTCTAAAACCCACCCAAAAACGCTCTCCTCTCTCTCTCTTGCGACATGGTGAACTAGGGCAGCCATGGCTGCCATCGTCTCTCCAAGCTGTGGGAGAGTCCATTCAAATAACTAGTGAATCACATCCTAATCCTAATCCAAAACAGTCCTATGCATCGCAACTTATATCAAAACAAGCTGCCGCAAAATCGTCAAATCTTGAATTATGTCCAGTAACGTTTGATCATGGAGAACCAACTGTAGAGTTCACCATGGATGATGTTAATGAGTTTATAAGAGAAGAAGGACTGCATCAAGCAGTTGTAATGAAATTTTCATATGGAAAACCTGAGTTACAGGAATTCAGAAAGAGTTTTTCGTCGTAATTCGATGTTCGAGGTTACTGCAATATTGGACTTCTGGAGTTTCGTCATCTGTTGATCAGATTTGATCTCTATAATGATTATGTTCAGTTCTTATCAAGATCAACTGGATATGTCAAGGCAAAAGGTGATGAATTCTTTTTCAGAACGTTTCCATGGACGTTAGGATTCAATCCAAAAGAGGAAACGTCCATGGCAGTTGTGTGGATCTCTTTTCCAGGTTTGCCGCCTAATTTCTTCGCTAAGAGGTCGTTAATATCTATTGCTTCCGCTGTTGGTAAAGCTCTTGCTGTGGACAAGGCGACACAAGAAAGAACAAGACCTAGTGCTGCTAGGATCAAGGTAATTCTTGATTTGCTCGACAAACATCCTAAGAAGGTTAAGCTACCAGGAGGTGGTGTATGACAATCTTCCTAAATATTGCACTTATTGTAAGCTTTAAGGACATGACGAAAAGGTGTGTCGAATTATGAAAGAACAAGCTGGAACAAAGGTGGTGACAGAGGAAGTAACAGGGGCAGCATCTCAACGTAATCATGATTTGGTCGAGGCAGATGGTCCAGTTATTGAAAAACTACAAGGTGATGCTAGGGAATATCTCAATGCAAAAAGAGCTGGCCAAATAATGGTGTCAAATTCAGAAGATACCACAAATAATGGGCAGCAGCAGATTTTTAATAAATCTGGGAGTTCAAAGAATGATGCTATTGTTCATGTCGATCGTGCCTTAGCTAGGATATCTCAAGCGATGGCTATAGAAGCAGGAAATAAGGTGTTGAATGGTCGAGGAAATGACAGTGATAAAGGGACAGTAGCAGGAGATGTGTTTACTAATGACAAGCCAAGTGATGATATGGCTATAGTAGATGTTGCTGGGCAGATTACTGGGAACCAAAAACTGGAGGCTGGGCAAAATCGACATGATAAGGTGGATTCTACAGGAGTTCGAACAAATTTACAGGAGGCCTTGAAAAGGCCTGATGTTGTGGGAACTGTTCTTACTGTTGCGTTAGGGGAAGAGGATGTAGCAGGTTTTGGGCAGAAGGATCTTGAGGACCATCTAAAACTCCTAGAGATACAAAGGGTGCAACTGATGCATCAGGGGTTGGAACTGATGGAGCAACCAGTGCTAAGCATACAGCAGTAGCAGTTGTAGAGCATCATAAAAACGCTGGACAAGAAACAGCTGCTGTTGGTTCTAAGCTGGAGGCAACTGTTGATCGACATCCTGTTAGGATTGCTAATCCTAATGCTGCAATTGGTGATACAAGGTTGAAGGATATCCCTGCTTCTACAGATTTTGCAAGGATGTACTCAGCTACTGCTGGTGCATTGGTACAACTGCTGTAGATGTCTCTACTGCTGCCTTAGTTCCAGCTGAAGTTGCTTTAGAAGGGGCTGAGTCTAAGCGTTCAAAACCTACTGATGCTGGACATGATACAAAGGAAGCGGGGCAGCATATTATTAAGGATAACTGGACAACAGTTTCCAGCAAAAAAGGCACTCCAAACAGCAAAAAACTGCTGCAGATTGCAAGAGACAGTCCAGGTGTGCAAAAAAATACAAATCCTTTTGATGCTCTTGGCAATGTGAATGATGATGGTGAGAAGAACATACAGCAGGTTGATCAAGATTTAACTTCAAGAACTAGGATGTCTAACTCTCCAGGCAGTGAAAAGAAACAGCAATTCATAAAGAATGCAGATGCTCGATCAAAAAAAGATCTTGCTCTTGTTCCTGTTGACGAGCAAATGACTGGAGCAGTAGCTAATGCAGCCTCAACTTGGTGGAGGAGCTAACGAGTAACCAAGCACATAGCTCCAATGCTCCTGACCTTGCATTTTTCCAGTCCACAGGTGGAAAAATAATCAAAGATGCCCAGAACGCGATGATGTTGCATACTAATATGGTTAAACAACCTTTGGTAACATTGTACACCTCAGTCTTTGAAGTACCATCACAATCGTTGGAATCGTTTGGGGAGCATGGAGGAGATACTGGGCAGTTGGTGTTGTCCACTGGAAACAACGACATTATTAAAGCAAATGTGAGGGCGATGGCAATTAAATCCAAACTATGGGATAACCAACGTGAGGATGATGATGATGAATACCGGGGTGCCGATTTTGCGAGGGATTCGACTGATGAAGGTGAGCGATGTAGTGGAGATGAGGAGATGATTTCAGTTGGCTCACCTTTACCAAAAATTGGCAGCTCTTCTAAGTTGAACTCAGGCAGCAAATTAAACGCAAAAGCCCCAGATTTTATTCCTAAAACTAGGCAGCAACAGATCACAACAGCCGCTAGTTCGATAGCAAAGGCAGTAAACATAATGTCTGGGCAGCAGCAGCTTAGCTCTAACACTCCAGCTATTAATCAACATGAAGCAGCCACTTTAAATCCTGGAAAGCAGCAGCAAATTGTAACCATGCCAGAACCATTTAAGGCAGCAACAAATCCTGGGCAGCAACAGCAACATGTAGACAGTTTAGAGGCAGCAGTAGCAGTTACAAATAATGAACAGCAGCAGCAGATTATTAGTGTTGAAGATAGAAAGCTACTGGACGCGATGGTAAGCTCAAAACCTGTTAGCTCGTTAAATCTTACTGCTTTTAGCACTGGTCGAGTGAATAAGAGTAGGAACAAAATGCAAAGCATATCACAACACCAAAACAAGGCAGCATTGATTAATAAACAGGATGGGAACAGTTTGGTAAATCAAGAACTGGTTCAAGACATGCCAAATCCGATGATTGTGGGCAGAGATACATATGAAGAGGGCGAGGAAGAAGATATGTTAAATCAATGCCGGGCAGAGGCAGCAAGAAAAGGGGATCTATCACCTATGCATAGCGGCAAAAGGAAAAAGACACATAAAAGAGAAAAAAGCTGGGACGGCAAGATGAGTGAAGATGTGAACATAAGGTGACTCCCAATGAGAGTTGCCAAACAAAAACAGGTTTATCCAACTACGTCAACAAAGTCCACTCGTTCAAAGAAAAGCATGAAATTTGAAGACATTTTGAAAAGGGTAGAGGATGAAGACAAGCGTCTACAAGTTGAAGACTTCACAAAATTAGAGAACATAGGAGATCACTGTTATTTCTACATATTCTTATTCTACCATCACATTAGTATAGTTTTATGTAATATCATCACAGAGTATGTTATAAACTCTGTGATGATCATAGAATATCTAGTTTTAGCTAGTTCTTTCTTTTTACATGCTTGTTAGTAGGTGAGGCCTTTTCTTTGCCTCAATAGGATTAGTAAGGTAAGGTTTAGCCCAATTTGTGTTGCTCTATTCCTATGCCTTTGGAAAGATATCCAAATGGCTATGAGATTATATGCCCTCGTGAGACTTTGCCGGTAGCTACACCATGATTCCTCTACATGAGGCTTCCATAAGGGCATTGTGAGGCGCAGAGGAGTGATTATATAGCCAAGGCATAGAGGCAACATTACTGGTGCTACTGTCCCCCTTATTTGTACTCTTCCGATGTGGTTCTTTTTTTGCTTTTTATTATTAATAAAACTAGCCCTAGGCACCTGCCTAGTGGATTTGCCTAAAAAAAAAAATGACCATCTTCTAAGAAAACTCGAAAGAGCATCAACCCCCCACCCCAAAAAAAAAAAATATCAATAAAGTGAACATTGAATTTCATTGAAAAACCAATTCTGGTGAAGGTCACTTGTAGAAATTACACGAGACAATCATATAAAAGTTGGAAGAATTTAAGAGAAAATTCAGTAACTTTTCAAGGAAAAATTGTGAAATTCACATAAACATTATAATAGTGACTGAAGAACATCTCTCTTAACAAAAAAAAAAAAAAAAAAAAAGTGCAGCTCGATGCACGAAGCATCCCTCGTTTATGCAGGGTTCGGGGAAGGGCCACACCACACGGGAGTGTAATGTAGGCAACCTACCCAGATGCAAGCAACAGTGGCTGATTCCACGGCTTGAACCCATGACCTATAGGTCAGACGGAGACAACTTTACCGTTGCTCCAAGCTCCCTTCAAGAACATCTCTCTTAATTATGTGAAATTTGCAAAGGGTAATTGTTAGCACTTTCAGATAGCTCACTTGCACAATAGCTAGATTGATAGTAAAAGATGCTCCATAAAATAGCCAGAGATATTTCAAAGATTCTACTAAATGGAAGTATCAAAACCTAAAAGTTCTTTGAGGTACACAAATTCTATAAAATGAAATAATAGAATAAAAATTAAACTGAAAAAGGACCTGCATTCTTGCGGAGTAAATCCCCTTCCATTCTTATGTATTCTTTTTCTATCTTTCGTCACCTGAAAAGAGCTACAGAATTTGAGGACAAGATCAAGCTTCTATCTGTTTATGAGCATTTCGTACGTAACACTGCCGCCGGCTTCATCTTTATACACCAAATTAAACCCCCATTGTTTTCCACGATGGCGGATGTCACCTGGACTCAAACAGGCTTCAAATATCCCATAGTCATTTGGGTTATATGACTGTAAATTTGATGTGTGACAGAGACTGTTTAATGGCAAAAATGCAAAGCACATATTAGGGACAGCAGTAGCACGACGTAACACATTCATGGAAAATGAACAGACTTTCTTGAGCTCTTCAGTCCGCATTCCTTTATGTCGGGGAGTTAGTTTTGCTGTAATCTCAATGGTATCTCTTTCATAAAAGTCAAAACTCGGTTCCTCATACTCTTTCCAATAACTGGAATCATAATTGTAATGATGCATGCTCCCCTCAAATTCAATATCATAACTACGTGCAGAATGATAAAAGCAGCAGCCGCAGCATATAGCGAATCCCAAGAAATCTTCAGTGTACCAATGTTCAGGAAGATTGACTGACATCGTTGTGGCACTTCTATCTTGCCATCTAAACCATTCTGGAATTTGAGTTCCATGTATAACAATCTTAAGAACTTCCTGCAAACCAGAAGAGATAGATATATCATTCCATGTGCTATAGTTAAATCCACATATCTAATGTTTCTGCTGCCTTTTTTCTTTTTGGTTTCATAAAACATGAGATTTAGAGAGAGACCTCACGCTTAGCCGTCGAAAGATATGAAAAGGGAATAAGCTGCAACATATCATCCATTTGTTGCTTCTGACTGTTCTCCAGCAGTTCTGACACATCTGACCATATTGAGTCTAACCATAGATAGAAATTTTGGTACTCAATATTTGTGACTGCTATTAAATTCAACTCCTTGCATTTAATTACTAAATCTTCCATGCTTCTCAAGGCCAAGTGTTCATCTACATATAGCTCCTTGATGCTTGGGGGAAGCTCTGGCAATGCTTCAAGCCTCTGGCAAAATGTTATGTCAAAGTATTCAAGGCAAAAGAGTTGATTCATCGTTTCAGGCAAATTACAAAAACCATTTCCACTAAGATTTAACTTCACCACTGAGCCTAAGCTTCCAAGACTTCCAAAAACATCATCAGGTAAATTGAGCATTGATGATGAATATTGGACTTTTGGTCCAATCGCAAACTTTTTCCTGAATGATAAGACCTTAAGTTTATTTAAACGTGCAACCGAAGATGGTAGTCTTAAAATACCAGTACCATCTGCAAGTAATTCCTCCAAATGTTCCAAGTGACCCAAATTTTCTGGTAAATATTCCAGTCCCGAGCAGTAAGAGATGCGCAGAATCCTCAAACTTTTCAACAACCAAATGTTGTGGGGGAGACTGCTAATACAATTACACCAACTCATATCAATAATCCTAAGCAAGTCAAGATGTTCATAAATTGTGGGCTGCTCCAATGTCAGAAGGAGCTGAAGTCCGTGTCCTGACAAACAATTTATGGCATTGGGAGTTCCGGGCAAGTTTTTAAGTTTTCTGCAGTCTAACAGCTTTAGACTTGTAAGACTAGTCAATCTCCACATGCTGCTCGAGATACTGGAAATAGTTTTGCAATTACAGATTTCAAGGAAATTTAGTGAGGTGAGGTTTCCTATAGAGGTGGGAAGCTCCTTAATAGAAACTAATTTTAAGATGAGTTCACGGGTACGATTGCTATTCCCGTGAATTTCTGGTAAACTCCCCAGTTTCTCACATTTACTAATCTTCAGATTTCTGAATCTCCAAATACTACTTGGGAGACTTACAAGTTGGTTGCAGGAATGCAATTGTAGGTTTTCTAGGGAACTGAGATGCTCAATTGATGGCGGCAGTTCTCTTATCCCAGTTGAAGTGAGGTCGAGTTTCTTCAAGTGCTTCATATTCCTTTCCACCTCCGGGAACATTTTCAAGTTAAAGCAACAATTGAGATCAAGAACTTCAAGGCATTCTGATTGAATAATTGCTGGAAGTCTCTCAAGTGATATGCAATGATCCATATTTAACAAAATAAGCTTCTTGAGAAACCCAACAGATGGATGGACTTCCACCAATGCATCACAAGAGCTCAGGATCAACCTTTCCAAATTTGTGATCATCCTAAAATCTGGGGTTTGTATCAAATTGTGGCAATAACTGAGATCAAGAGTTGTCAAAAATGCTAACCTCTGTACCATAGAAGAAAGAAAATTGTTAAGCACATGTTTTCACAATGTATGCATTTATGTCCATGAAAATTGCAACTGTCTATCTGTTAAGTATCTGACTAAGTGGAAAAAGAGATAAATTATCAAAGACGAGAGATCCAAAACGAAAAAAAATAAAAGGGGGAGATTGACACATATATTCCATTCATTCAGAAATTCTCCCTTTATTTGTTCTAATACGACAAGTAGATGAATGGTTCCTTTTGTCTGTCACTTATTTCAAGCAACTCATCTGATAGAACAATTCTTCGATTTTCTAAAGACGTGAAGCTTTAGAACTAGAATTCAAAGAAAAGGAACACTCCAAACCATCCAGCTATAAGTTTGCTGCATGACTAAAGGAGCATATGTTTTATCCTTATATTCTTTATAAAGTAAATATTTTACTGATAGTACAAGAAAGCATACACAAGATATTTATCACTGAAACATATAAGAGAATAAGCCTTTCCAAAGAGCATCCGATCCTCTGTACAAGTTGGAATTCTATATGTGCCCGTAACAAGAACTTAAAACCAAAAGCTTGAGTACAGATGAAAACTGTTCATTTATAAGATACAATCATTTTCTAACTTTATGATCAGAAACATTGCATTACCTCCAAATTTTTGAGCGTCAAAAACATTTCTTCCGACTTAAGATCTTCTGGTGACCCACAATTGACTAGCCTGAAAAGGCAAACTAACTATTTTTCACCTTACTAAATTAGCCCAAAAAAAGGTTAGTCTATTTCCTCTCCAGATTCCAAATTATTTATTCTAATCTTCTAAATTAAAATAGACTTGATATAACTTCAATAGAAGCAAAATCAACATTATTAGATAAAACATGCGGTAACTATTCATCACTAAAAGATAATAACTTTGAATTTTTCTGAGCAGATGTTCCGTCTGCATCCATACGTGATTTCATGAAGTTTTGCAGTCAAATATTAATTAAGTGACTGTTCTAACTTTAGCTGTAAGTCTACTGGTAAGAGACCTCATAGTTTGAAACTTCTTCCAGGATTTATGCAGTCAGTTTTTGGTGCATTTCTATGCTAGAGAATTAAAATTGCAGGCCAGATCAAGAACAATACTTTGAACATCAGCTACTTCAAAAGTTCTGCATTAGTTTCAATCTTACCAAAGCACATATTGTATAGCATGTAGACATGAGTGAGGACTGAAATTTGAAATCAAAGGAAGCAACTTGATGGTGGCAACCGTACCTTTGCTCCATTCCAGAGTTCGATGATAGAACTACCCTTCATAGTAAGATATACGAGCTTTGATGGTTCAAAATTTGATGGCAATGAGTCTGCAGAATAGTCACGCCATTCAAGCCAAAGCAGACTGTTAGGAAGATAGGCAACAGGCACATCAAACCCCCTGTTGTAATATTGTTTCACAAGTATCCTCAGCCTCCTCGTCTTTTTGAGAGCTTCAGCACTGTACATATATTCCAACTCACTCTCTTCAAACTGTTCAGGCTCTGCGAGTAACAAGCCTTCAATTGCTTCTTTCCTCTGCAGACAAATAAAAAATATCCTTACAGAAGAAAAAAATTATACGAAGCACATATAAGTATGCTGCATAGACTTATTTTTTCCGGTATATATGACCATCTTCGGAGTGAGTGTGGCAGTTACATGAAATGTAGTAAGACATTTATCTACACATGTAAGTAAGGCATTTATCTGTTTCCAATCACCTCCCTGTGACTATAAACCATTCCAATTCAATCATCTTATAAGTTATAACTCTTACACTGCATATAGTCCATCTCAAATGAGATTTTTTTTTCTCGTCTCCTCTCTAAACGAAAGTGGAATTTAGGCCCTATTTATTGAAAAAAATGTCAAAGATAACGAAACAATCAATACCCTAATAAGAAGGCTTGTTTCTTCCGCCCTAATAAAAGCTACCGAGGTTCCATCCCAGTTGTTCACTATGAAACTGGGATTGCTTGGACTTTATAACCATACCTTACTTAGTCTTCCCTTGGAACCGGATCCTTTAGAATTTAAATAGAAGTACCCCTCCTAGGAATTGATTTCTCTAAAAATTTCATATGCAACTGGCACTGCTTGGCTTATCTAGTAGATTGTTATTAGATTTCATGTGCCGAAATGCTAATTTGTTCGACGAAGTATCTAACGAGACATATATCATGTTCTAATCCTTTTTTTCCTTTCTACTTCCTGTTTTTCAATTATAACCGAATAAACTTACTTCCTCGGTTCTGTTTTATACAGACACTCTCCTTTTCAGTCCGTTAAAAAAGAATCTATATTTGGGAACTCTTTAACTAAAGATATATCATTTATCCTTAATGACATGCTCTTACAGCCATAGAAATGTCATGGCATGTTTAAACCCACAAATTTAAGGTGCTTTTGATATGTGCCAAAAGTCTTTATTTCTTTCTTTCTTAAACTTTGTTTCCAGTCAAACAATGTCATATAAAATAAAACGGAGTTGAAGTTTATCAAAAGCTTGAACTATGGAGAAACACTCAATGGTATAACGGTTTTACGATAAGAAGAAGTAAGATTGGATATATGCATTGCAGCTTTAGCCGCAAGAGTGAGATTAGGCTCAATGTTCCTAGAGAATGGTATGATAGATGATAAATGGTATACATAGAATCAAAGTACGATGGTTGAAATAGTGAAATTTTAAAGGAGTATTATGTGAGAGGAAGGACCCCTACTAAAGTGAAAGGCAAGTTTAACTATTTTGCTACATTTCCTTTAGGTCCAATATCTACCGGGAGTCCTTAGTCTTATTAGAGATTTGTATCCCAGTAGAAAAATAGAGAACCCAAACTTTTAATATAGGATTAAGACGAGTCTAAATGGTGCAACGTGAATAGTGAGAATTTATATGGCTGACCCTATAGCTTGGGATTGAGGCTTAGTTGTTATTATTGTTAAGAAGTTGAGCACATTGTAAAAGTGCTTTCTATGTCTAATGTACTCTATAAATACTTGTTTCTTTCCAAAACAAGAAAAAGGTTAATTTACTATCTCATGCTTTCTTTCCAGACTACACATACATCATTTCCAGATATTTTTTATGAAGATGAACATTGCTCACATAATAGCCATTTGTGGCTAGATGTCTTACCATATCTCCTATGCATGCATCCTTCACATCCTCCGGACGATATATTCTTCTCATCGGTGATTCTTGAACTGCGATTTGTCTACCCATCTCTTGCATCAAATCATGCATTTGGATTTTGTCCTCTAAAATAAAAATGAGAGATTTTTCAACAAGGGTCTTTATTCCTAGAACTGGGTGGAAACCAGAAGCGTGAAATAATGCTGTCATATCTCTTTGATTGTAACCCCTGAAGAAACATGCAATATCTAAAAATATACTTTTTTCATAATCTCTTAATCCATCAAAACTTATTTTAAGTGTAGCCATAATTTCACCCTCAGGGGTATCTTTTAGTCTATCAATTGTACTTATCCATACATCAAGATCTTCCTTGTACAGCAGAGAACCAAGCACCTTAAGAGCTAAAGGAAGGCCTCCAGTATAATCTACCACAAGATTTAAGAGCTCCTTAAACTCCTTTTCAGGTGAATTTCTCTTGAATGCGTGCAAATTGAAAAGCTCAATTGCTTCATCTCTTTCCAAAACCTTTACCTCGTAAGTTTCATGCACATCATGGTTTTTCAATAGTTTCATATCCCTAGTTGTGATAACAATTCTACTACCACTACCAAACCAATCTTCAGCTCCGACGAGCTTATCCAGCTGGTCATTATGATTAACATCATCAAGAACAACCAGAACTTTCTTAGAACAAAGTCTCCTCTTTAATATTGCACACATTTCTTCAGTATCAGTACAATCTACAAATTCTACCTTCAACAATTTGGAAAGGAGAGTCTTCTGCAAATACAACAAGGTATGGTGTTGTAGATATTCTTTTACATCTTCGAGAAAACAAGCACCTTCAAAACTCTGATAGTATCTGTTGAACAATGCTCTTGCAGCAGTTGTCTTTCCCACACCACCCATCCCCCAAATACCAACAAGACGAACTCCTTTCAGGTCCATCCTCAACAATGAACTTAGTTTCTTAATTTGAGATTCTATTCCAACTAAATCTCTGTTAGTTATTGAGATAGAGAAACAAAATTTGTCGAATATGTCTCTCACAATCTGTTGTATGCATTTCGATTCATCCCTGTATGTCAAAATGAGTGCTATTTCATACTGAAAAGGTATGCATTGAAGAAAGGAAAAAATGAGTAAATTTTCTGAAACAAGTAAGGGAGTTGCAACTTCGTTCCCCATAACTGGATTTACCAATTTTAATCACACTATTGGAATTTATCCTGTGTTAGTCAGCTTGACTCCTTGAAATTGATTTTTAGCTATGTTGCGCGGACTCTCCAAAATGATGCCGCACCCATATCAGATCCTCAAAAAATACACTATTTTTGGAAGATCCGACACGCACCCGGCGAGCAACATAGGCTTTTAGTATTATCATTAAAATACCTGCCTTCTCGATTAGCGGACTTTTTTATTTTTACATGAATGTTCCCAAAATAAGAAACTAAGTTACCACAATCAAGAAGTTTTCAATATACAATGAGAAGGTCAGAACTTTGAATATAAGCCATTTCTAGTTTCTACCTTGTTTTCTCTTTATAAATTTTATTAAATCTTAGTAAGCTGCAGAAGATTTTACAAAAACAACCATGCACTTATGTGCTATTGCTAATATTATACTATAACTTTTTGGAATAAAATGGAAATAAGAATTTAGAACAAAAATCACAACTGACCCATTGTAAGTGTTGCGCAAATCATGCCCTGATATGTTAGCTACCTTAGTAAGTGCTTCCCTCCACCTTAGCACTTTGTTCTTATCATCAACCAAGTTAGCCTCAAATTTAGTAAAAAGCACAGCATACTCCCCATTTTGTTTCCTCACAGTTGATGGATCCACATCATAGAAAACTGGGACAACAATTAGCTCAAATTTTTCATGAATTTCAAGAATCTTTACCAGTTCTTCCAAGCACCATGTAGATGAAGCATAGTTCTTGGAAAAGACAACAACAGCAAATCTTGATTCTCCAATGGCTTTCATGAGTTCAGATGAGATTGACTTCCCTCTCTTTAACTCCTTATCATCCATGAATGTGTGAATACCCTTTTCAATAAGAGCATTAAACAGATGACCCACAAATGTTTTTCTAGTGTCTTCTCCCCTAAAGCTTAGGAAAACCTCATAACTGCGTCCATTATTGGACAATGAAGTCAACATGGGTATATCTCTAAATTCAGAAATTGATGGAAATGAACAAAATTTGGGGGAGAAAAAAGACCACTTCAAGAATATTTGAGAGTTGAAATACCAACAATGTCTTCTACTGAAAAGTCAGAACTTTGGTTTGAAAAATATGTTCTTAGCTTCTTTTTTTTTTTTTTTTTTTTAAGTATGCTGACTATACTATTCGAGGTAGTTGAAAGGCCAAATACATAGACCGTATCTTAAAATATATCATTTGAACACAAACTCAGAAGGCAGTCACATGGATTTAACTAAAAGAAATTTTCAAAAAATTTGGAAAACCCCACCCCACCATAGTCATTCCCCAAATGACCCCACCTTGCCGGAACATCAATTTCTGGCCATTGCTTTCCCACGATGACTTCTTCTCCAATTTTTTTGTTTTTTCTCCTCTTTCTTCACATAGTAGCTTTCGCCTAAATTTGTTTGAAACATCCAAATATGATTTCTTCTTCTTTAGATTCACGAAACTTCGCCGGAAAAAATAAAGTTTCGCCGGAATGTTTTGAGATGTAAATCTGATTTTTTTTTCAATTTAAGTCACAAAGTTTAATTTTGCTGAAAAAACAAAATTTTGCCGGGAAAAATGAAGTTTTGTCGGAAAATGCTACTGTTCAAATTTTTCTTCTTGTAATTGTTAATTCTGTTACTTTTGACAGATCCAAATGTTGACAAGAGAAGATGGAGGTAACAAGGTTTTTTCTCTCTTCTTCATGTTACTTTTTGACAAACCGACAAGATTTTTTTATTTTTGAGCTGAGAAGCTTGGTAAAGCTCACATGGTGGAGCTCTTTGATACTTGAACTTAATTTTTGCTAACGTGACAAGATTTTGGCTGAGAAGCGCTCACATGGTGGAGCTCTTTGATACTTGAACTTAATTTTTGCTAACGTGACAAGATTTTGGCTGAGAAGCGCTCACATGGTGGAGCTCTTTGATTTTCGCCGGAATGCTATTGCTAAACGCGAGGAAGAAAAATGGAGAACTGTAGGTGTTCTTCATAGATGGAGAGGTGAGAGAAAAAAAAGTTACTCCCTCTGTTGTTCCAATTTTATTAATGTGTTTGATTAGACGCGAAATTTAAGAAAAGATTTTTGAAATTTGGTATCCTAAACAAGTTAAAAAGGCCAGAGATCATCCATTGTGATTTCACATTCAAAAAAGGCTTTCTAAAGTTGAAATTAATCTTTCTTTTCGTAAGAACAAAAATTTAGTTTCTTTTTTTTAACAATATGATCACGATTTTTTAATAACAGTATAAGGTTTTTAAAAGTTTTTGATTCTTATTGAGTAAACCTATAACCGAACTGATGACGATCGATTAATCGATATCGATTAACTGATATCTTATCGGTTTAGTATATTTTAAATTAATAACCGAAATGTCAAACCGATAATATTCACAACTGAACCGAATCGACCGATACTCACCCCTAATAATAGTCGTTTGGGAAAAGATTAACCCTGCTTCTATTATATATTAGTAGTAAAGATAGTTTGCGCTGTGCACGGACCCAATAATACTATACTAGATACTGGAGTCGTGAAAATGTATTTAGTAGAGTCCGATTTATAAATGTGTTACATCAAAATTCATCTCCAAATGATACTAAAATTACAGGAAGTACAACTAAAGCGATCTCAGCCAATTCTCAATGTATATTTAGGAATGCCAACGTAATGATGTATTTAGCTAGCGTTGGGACATAGATTTGGTTGAAACTTGAAAAAATAATTTTTGAAGTAGTTTTGAAAAATAATTTTTGGAAGTTGAAATTATGTTTGGACATGCATTCTATTTGAAAAAATATTTGAAGTTTTGTGAATGGGAGAACAAGTTTCACCCGAAATCTACCCTAAACTAGATTTTGGGAAGTTGAAAAATAGTTTCAAAAATTTTTCAAAAATAGATGATTAATCTATGAACAAACAATGTTTTCAAAAAAGATTTGAGAAAACATTGCCAAAATGTATGGCCAAACGGGGCCTTAGAAACTCCCACTATTCTCACCAAATAAATTAAGTTTGATTAATAAGTGAGATCCTTTTTTATTAATTATAAAAGACATGTAATAGAATTATTAGAGCTCTAGATAAAAGAATTATTAATTAGTTTTCTGATTACATGAAAAATCAAGGGGTAATATAAATATCAGATAAAAAAGTTTGATTTTATTTGAAGTTACATAATTCAGATGGACAACTAGGTATAAAATAGAAATCCTAGTGGACCAACAATGCATGTAGTAGCATGGTTAGAGGAGAAAATTTCACTTTATACCCATAAAGCTCAAACTATTTATTCTTATATATCCGAACCTAATTTATTTACTTTTCCTACCTATGCAACCAAGACTATATTTACCCGGCCCACAACTATTTGCCTTCGCATTTGATTCAAAGTGTGAATGACAAGACGAAAAGATGATCACACTTTATTTTCATTTTCTTCTTTCTCTCTCCTACTTGTTAGATTTTTATTATTTTTCTGTTCCACAGCTTACATAACTTTGACTCCTTCTTTCTTCTTCTTGAATTTTTCTCTTTGTGTGTATTGAATTTTGAAGCCCTTTGTTATTTCTGCGATTTTCTTTTAATTTGGTTCCATGAAACGAAAGGAGGTTGAAGAAGTAGATGATCAAGAAACACCAATTGATAGACTGCCCTTTGACCTCTTGGCTCATATTTTTGCTACTTGTTTCAAGGATTTGACTCAGTTAATTTACTTAATTCTTTTTCCTCTACTTTTTCTTCTCAATCTACCCCTTTGTTTCTGTTTCGTGTTGTGTTTATTTTGTCATTTTTTGGCTACTTGTTTGTAGGACGAGCGTTGTGAGCGGGAAATGGAGAGAGAGGATGAAAGAATCCTTAGCTAGAAGAGAAAGTTTGAGTTTTTCTTGTTTCCTAGATCTAAATTTTTATGTGTATTTGAATATCCACCATTGTTGGGCTTGAAGCTCAATTTTATTTTTGAAGATTTCTTGTTTGATTCAAAGTGGGTGCGGTTAAATATTGCTTATATTACCTTCTGGAAGTTCATACTGAAATTTAACAGCATTTGGAGCTGATTTGAGGTGATTGAGATCGAAATTTTCATCTGAAAATCGAAGAAGAACACAACTACCCAATAGTATACCGCTACGGTATATAATATGTTGTAGGAGTATATAGCTATACTGCAACAGTATACTATTGTAGTTTACAATATACTGCAACGGTATATTGTAATAATCGAAGAAGAAGAGTTAACTAATAGTATACCGCTACAGTATACAATATACTATAGGAGTATATAGTTATACTGCAACAGTATACTATTATAGTATACAATATATTGTTATAGTATACTGTAATAATATGCAACATACTATAACAGTATGCTGTAATAGTATACAATATACTATAATAGTATACTTATTACCCGTATATTCACATGCCTTTTCTATATATATATATATATATATATATATATATATATATATATATATATATATATATATT